TGCCTAGCGGCACACTGATGATCCCCCGAATGAGGTGTTCTCCCAGGATCTCTTCCGCTGCCGCGGCCATCCCCAGCACAGCTTTGCCAAAACCCACCAGGTACAGGTCCCTCTTCACTGGAAAGGCTTGGCCCTTCACCAGCAGCTGAGGGCATCCGTCTCCCTGGAGCTTCACAGCCCTCTTCAGCATTGGAGCCGGCCGGACGGTGTCCACCGCGCTGCGGAAGAGGGACAGTGCATGCTCACGGAGGGACATGCTGCGCAGGGTGGCCAGGCTGAGTCAATCTGCTCGGTGGGGTGGGCTTGTACACACTCTGTCAACACTGGCAAGGCACAGAGAGCTGGGGCAGCCGGCACCCTCCAACCTGCAAGGGAAAGTGAATGCTAGCAGAAGAGACAGGGCTGTCACAGGGAGAGTAGGGAGGCCAAAACATGAACCATGGAGCTCTAGTTCCTGTTGCCTTTAGATGAAGGGGCCATAACAGCAGCGTTTCCAAACCTCTGCCCAGGCAGGAGGGAGGGAAGGACAGTGTGACATTCAAACTACCTGTCAGCTTGTGGTTCCCCTGCAATCCCATCACCTCCCACAGGGAAGGTGAGCATTACCAGCCAGCTTCTCCATCACTGTAGATTTGCCACTGGCAAGCCATCATTTCTATTTGCTCAGCGTTTGATGCCTTTCCAAACTGTGGAAGCTGCTCTCTGTCCTGGAGAGAGCAGGGTGTCTGGGTAGAACAGCTTTTCACTACATTAACTCCCTTCCTCAGGCTAGCCAAATGCTGATCTCATTCTCTGGCTGTGCATTGCCCCCTGTGTCCCTGGAGCATCAGGCATGGACTTTGGAGAAACAACGGGCTTGCTGGCTGCCTGATCCCTGGCTGCTGGTGGCCACAGAGAGACCAGTAATGAGGTTTCCCCACCAAACAGCAAATTAACACAAGGCTTCATTCGCCTTTTATTTTTTAGTCCTCTCATTATCCATTAAAATCACATTTAGAGCTCAAATAGGACTTCAGATCCAGGCAAAGCTGCCAGCTGTGTCTGTGAAAGCCCATTTGAGCTAGTCTCCACTGAGTATTAGCATTATATGCAACAGAGATGAGTGTGGACCAAAGGATCTGCTCAAGGGCAGACACTTGTCCTGACAGAGGAAAGGCAGCCCCTGCCAGCATGCACGCATCTATTCCCTCCCAGCATTTCTCCTTCCCTCCATTAACTGGCAGCAAGTTCACTGCTGGTTTCTCAGGATCAAAGATCCTCGTGATCTGCATCTCTCCCGCTCACGGCAATTATGGTGCAGGCAATTAAGGCAAGGTGCCAGGAGGCTGAAGCAGCCCAGGCAACACACTCGATCACAGACCCATTCAAATTACCTGAGAGAGTTAATCCTCTCTCTAGTAAATGGATGTGTTTTGGTGCAAGGCCAGTGGCTGGCTTCTTCTGGGAGAGGTCACGAGTCCAGGTCTCTTTGTCCTAACACTCCCATAGCATTGCAAAGTGTTAATCATTAAGCCAGACAAGCTTTTCAACAGCTCCTCTGGGTCTAAATCTGCCTTATTTTGCTGCAAGGACCCAAAGGCTCTGTGAAAACCTCCACACAAGCACCTTCTCAGGCAATGAAACTTGGGCACACTCTGAAATCTGTCGGACAAGGGACTTGCAGGTAAAACTACATAGAGAATCATATAGGTTTGCCAGAGAAAAAAATGATTCAATGCTTAAGAGAAACAGATTTTAAAGGCAAAACACAGGGCAGATAGATAAACTACCTATCTACACTCCCTTTAGATCCTGGTCAGGACTGGCTTTTCAATCATGAGGAGAGATAAAAGACAGGGTGTCCTGACCACTTTGTTACTAGACTCCTAAACTTCACGGCAGCTGGTGCTGCCAGCAGTTTAAACCACTGAGCCTCAGCCCTCCTGCAACGAGGGCCAGAGTAACCATGCTAACACCAGTGAAGTCAGCTGTACACCTCTCAGGAACTGAGATTAGCATCTCTGTTCCCAGCAGGTCTCCGATTCACCTGGCAGCACAGCGCAATCAGAGGAAGGTGTTACAAAACAGAGGTGCATCACGCCCCAGGTCGCCTCGTCTGAGCTGCGATACAGGGTTTGCAGAAGTGATTGGAGAAAAAGGCTTAAATGGAGCCAGGGGAGTTTAAGAAAATAAAGCCCCAAAGCTTTTAATAGGCTCCGTCTCTGCCTTGATGTTTCTGTGCATGGCTGACCCTCAAGACCAGGGGAATCGAGCACAACCAGACCTGCAACTGTGGCTCCTGTCACACGTGCCCTCCCGGCGGCTCTGCTCAGCTCCAACTCCACACACGACACAGCAGGCACGAGTTGTTTAAAAGCAATTCTCTCCTACTGGAGCTGAAAAAAATAAATGCCAGCTTAATTCATCTAATACTTGTGTACACACTGCTAATGCTTGCTCTGGAAAGCATTTCGCTACAATAGTAGGCATGTAATCTGTTTTCTGCACTCTGAACTCAGATTATATTTTAACCCTCGAGGCCTGATCCAGAGTCTGTTGAAGTCAGCCCGCCTCTTTCCATTGCTTCTAAGGATTTTAAGGCACGCCGCCTGACACTGACCTCAGTGCACAGGTGTGAATGCAGAGTAAATCCGGTGTAAAAACCCCCCTGCAGTCAGAGGTTATCCAACTTTACACCAACGCAACAGAGAGCTGAATTTGGCACAAACCCATTAGCTTTGGAGGTCTTGGTGTGTAACTGCTCCTTGTCAGCTCTGATTAGACACGCAGGCTCACTGGAGGCTCCCCTTGGAATGGGGGTGCTGCTAATGATGCCACAAATCCATCTTTATGTAATTTATTTATACAGTCTCATGCACTGGGTATGAAATGTCATCAGGGAACAACTATAAATCAGTGCTATGAAATCCACTGTAGATATTAACAAAAAATAAAACTCCTACTCATTTCACTAGGGCTTTAAAAACAAGATCAAGAGAACTGAACATCACTTCACACCAAGACATAGGCAGCCTTGGAAAGAAAAATAATCCAAATGGCAGCTCTCAGACTACCTCCACAGACGGTGGGTCTAGAAATGGTGTCATTGCCAATTAGCTGCTGCGTATTGCACGTGGGGAAATTACATCCTCACATGTCTGCGTTTTCCCATTGCTGGCTAGGAGGAATCTGGGCTGGGAGAAGGGGCTGATGATGTGACTCATATTGCTTCATGCACTAATCTTTGTCTCCCAGTTTCTCAGGGAAATCACATAGGGATGAACAAGCCCTCTTCTATATGGGTATAAGGTGACATGCTATAGGCACCAGTGGGGCTCGGGTTTTACACCTTACCTTTGTCCCTGCTTGGGATAATTTGGAGTTGGGGTATAGATAGTCTTTTGGAAAGTTTTCTAGAAGTTTGCACTAAGCTTAGGAGGAAAATGATGCTAAGAATTGCCTGTTCCAAAGAGAGCAGGAGGACTGTAAGGGGTTTAGATTAATCCCCTTTAAATGAAAACTTCCTCAGCTTTCATTGATGAATGATGTTCACGATCTACATGCTTGTTGGCGTGCATTACCATTATAAGCTCTTTCTTCATAGGGCTCCTCCTAAGCCTGCAGAAATTTCCATGGTTAACTTTCACAACAAAAAGCAGCAAAAACCCAGCTCCTCATTTTCACCATCTCTGGGAAAGAGGAAGGGAGAGGAGCTGGACTGTGATAAAATACAGGCAAAGCGCTCGTTTGCATTACCTTTCATTAACTTTTTAATTAAAGCAATTCTGCAGGCAAGGAGCCAAAGTCAGAGGGAGACAGAAACAATCCAGCACTAGGGGCAGAAATGTGGTAAGCTGCCAGGTAAATTGGATGGTGGCACGAGACCAAAAGCACGGACATAGGGGGGCATAGTCTGAGCCATAAACTTGGAGTCACACTGGGGAGGAAAACAGTGAACAAATGAGCAGGCCAAGCCCGTGCAGTGAGAAAAACGAGCCAGCACCTCGCTCCATGGCAGGTACTTGAAAGCCAGAAAAATATTCCCTTTTAGGGGCCAGTCTGCCATCGCCGGGCAGAGCTGAGCTATCCCAGGTGCTGTGGTTGGAGGTTTGTTCAAGGGTTTGCATCACGGGCTTGTGGTTTTCTTGAAGCTGGGGCAATTGGGCTTGTTGCAGGCCAACGCAATCACACATCCCGAGCGCTTCAGGTGCTGCAAGATCGGAGCATTAATACTATGTATTAATGCTCCAGGATGGCTAATTTAACTGAGATCTTCATGGGCCTAAGTTAGTTTATTTTTAATGTCATCGTGACTTCTCTGGATTTCCCCCGGTGTGGCAGTGATTGGTGGCTGGCCCACTGTGTACAGGGTCAACTCCAAAATCCCTGAGGGGCTTGGAAAAAATTTGAGATGGCACTGGATCAAACCCCAATTGTTCGAGGATAATTTTGAGCTCAAGCTCTGAAAGACAGATTACATCTTTGTTACAGCAGTAAACTACCAGACACAGCAAGTTTTCGCAGTGTCTCTTGCTACTCATTTTTCTTGCTACATGACTTTCTTCTGGCCTCTTGGTACGTAAATTACCGTTAGACTCACCGAGGCTTACCGCTTCCATTTTTCATGCATTACCATGGGAGTTTACCTGTGAAGTACAACAGAGCGGAGATTTTACTGCCTTAAACTCCCATGTTCCCACTTACTGACACATCTTTTCTATCATTTGATATATCAACTTTAATTTGGCTGGTGAGCCCTGCTCAAACTCAAACTTGCTGCTCCAGATGGTCCCAAAAGCATAATGAGAAAATTTTCCAGGAGATGCACTGAACCCAGGAGGAAAACAAAGCAGTGAAGGTTTGTTCCAAGTGACTGTTCTGGGAGGATTAGATGGGGGATTTTTCAAGACTAATCTCTTTAAATGAAAATTTCAGAATTTGATTAATTTTTTAATCTGCACATGGATTTGCATAAAATTACCGCACGGCTTCATTCACATTTTGTAAAAGAGAAAATGTCTGCAGCTAGGATGGACCAACTCATCACTGGTCAGCTACGAAGGGTCCAGTACACAAGTGGGTGCACAGGGACAGGGTGAAAGGTCCTTTTGCCCGGGCTCACCGTGGTGCTCCTGCATCCGTAACTGGGAAAGAAGATGATGGTGGACAGAAGCAGTACGATGAGACCAGAGAGCTGCACAGAGGGTTTGCCAGGCAGGCAAGGGAGAAAGTAGGATGGAGTCTGAATACCTTTGTTTCAAGAATATGCTGAGCTCTGGGAAACCCAGGAGTCCTAATTTCCAATACATGGCTTTCTATATGTTTCTCGGAAAAGAAATATGTTGCTCTCATGACTGATTTACTCACCAGGAAAGTGACAACAGGGTCTCTCTGCCTTTGATGGGGAATGTAGCCTAAGGCCAAACACAGGGAAGATAAGTGTTCTGTTCAGCGTTTTATATATATAGATCAGTATCATTAGTAAAAAAATTAACTGGATTTGACATATGCATCTTACTAGTTTTTCTAGGTCACACTCCTTTCACTCCCTATATACCTTTTGGAAATGATTTTCCCATGCACTGGGGATTGCAGGGAAGAAAAATTTTTCACTAAAAAATCCTTCTGTAGCTCAACGCAGAACAGTACTACCCTGAAGCCAAGTCCACGCCAAGTCTACTTCCTTTCATACTGTAATTTCTCAAACTCCCTATTCTGAGTCAACTTGCAATCAAAGTTGAGAGTCATTTAAAATACAGGGAAGGATCATAGTATTTTAGAGAAGATGAAAAGTTGCCAGCCTTGAGGACTGGACTAATAGAAAGGGGTCGAAATTCAGTACTGCAGAATACAAGGTCATGCTCTTTGGGATTAATAGCAAAAAATTATGAGCTCCTCGGTTGGAAATAACGTAAGAGGAGAAAGAGCCAGGAATATTAATCAGTCAGAGGATGACAATTACGGCTGCCCTCTAGGCTGAGGCAAGAGGCTATGGGGAAAGCGGCAGATGTAATCTACCTTGACTTTAGTGAGGTTTTTGACACCATTCTCTTGAGCACCCTGAAGAAGCGTGGGCTGGGCAAACACACAGACTCGCTGAAAAACAGCTTGACCACTGGGCTCAGAGGGTAGAAATCAGTGGCTCAGAGTCCATTTGACAGCTGGTAATCAACAGGGACTCTGTTGGGGTTCGTGTCACCCTATGGCTTCATTAGTGACCTGGAGGGTAGCGCAGAGTGCCTAATTTGGGGGAAATGCTGATGGAGCCACCTTCCAGAGGAACCATGATAAACTCAAGGTCAGGGCCAACAGAACAGAAACCTCATGACGCTCAGCAAGGAGAAATGTGAAGTTTTGCTGCTGGGGCAGGATCCCCATGCAACAGGGCAGGCTGGAAACCAAGTGGTGCAACCAACTAAGGAGCAACCTAATAGCAGCTACAACTACTTGAAGGGTGGTTATAAAGACAGTGGAGATGAACCCTTCTTGGTAGCGGCAGAAAGTATAAGAAGGCGCAATGGCCACAATTTGCAAGTCAGGACGTTCACATTGGACATGAGCAAAAAGTTCTTTATAGAGAGGGTCGCACAGCACTGACTGGATCAGGCCACTCAGAGAAGGTGTGGTCTCCATGCTAGGTGGTTTTCAGGATTTGGCTAGACAAAGCCACGGCCAAGCTGATCTGGTACTGGTGATAGTCCTGCACCGAGCAGGAGGGTGGAGCAGGCAGCTCTCCCCACACTTCTGTGACTCCATGTTGTAACAGCAGGGACAGGGTTCGATGCTCCAGAGCATCATGCTTGGTTTCAAGAGCCCATAAAGAGATGCCAGGTTGTAGGACACAAGTCCTCCACACAAGCCTTCAGTCATAACCGTTACCCACCGAGCATCATCGCTCCCGGCAGAGTCCAACAGAAATATATTCACCTGAGCAGCGTTGTTTCCAGAAGCATCTCTCTGAAATTCACGTCCACCCATCTGAGCAAGCACAGGTCTGTCTGTGTTGTGCAGGTTATGGTTGTATCTAATATAGAAATGCACAGGTAGAATGACTGCATTTGATCAATACCACTCAAGCAGCAATTAAACATTTTTTTCCATTAACTAGTTTTGCAGGGGCATTATCCATAATTCGTACTTAATGTGACATTTTGCTAGGAAATCCAATTATCCTGCCAGATAAATTCCAGCTTGGTATAAACTGACAAACTAAGTTCCAACGATTAGGAAGAAAGGCAGAAGAAAGAATAAAAAGGGAGTGACAAAATATCAAATCAACAACCCACGGTGTTACACAACTCTAAAACTTAGCTAAGTATTGTAGGTGTTTTGAAGTAAATTGTCTTATGATGGTATTGGTGAGTCACCTTCAGGGCCCACATGAGATAATCCAGGCTTTGATCATGCAATTTACAGTGTGCAAGAGGCATGCCGTTCTGTGCTTCTCTAAAATCTCTCATCACACGAAAATCAATTGTAGATCTTGAACTGACCTGCAGTGGGGTAGCTGAGTCCGAGACCCTCGGAAGTAACGGAGGCGTCTTTTGTCGAGTATCCCTAGACTCCCGTGTGAAAATCTTGTCTCCGTTTCAAAGTAAAAATCGGTGAATCATTCTGATGAGCCAATCCCATCACAGCATGAAAGGGTGAATCGAGCTAGCTGTCTAAACCTGTAACGGTGAAATCTAGTAAGCAAACAGTAAGAGCAAGTAATCTCAGAAAAGACTTTTGTTTCACTAAATCATATATGCACATAAAATAATTAAGCATGTTTCAATGACGTGCAAGCAGACCTTTAATAGTTCCCGGACTTACTGTCGTTTGACCACAGGAGGGCAATATTATTCTAAAAGCAAGATCAAAATCTATTCTGGAGACTATGAAAGGAAAATGCAATTAACGTTTATGAAGGCTTCTATGGTTAATTTTTTTTTCTTTTGATTCTGAGTTTCCGGGGGACTGAAATAACAAAAGATCTGGTGTTCTTCTAAAATTAAAATAGTGGGGTGCTGGAAATCTTCACGAGGTGGGAGATTCTCACAGCTACTGTTACACTCCAGGAATAGCTTTTTAAGGTACGAGATGTACAAAAACACGAACAGAGAGTCTGACATCAAGATTCACGACAGAAAAAAGTAACGGTTCCAAGGTGTCTGTATTGGAGCACCAGCCTCAAGAGCCAAGGCATCTTTCTCAAAGGTTAAGGGTGTGCTGCTCATCTTCATCTGCCGTCTTACGCGGTGGTAAGACCGTAGTGCTACAGCTGTGGCGTTTCTGTAGTACTGCTTGGAGCCCAGTTTTTAGTAGAATAAAAAATACTGGGAAATAAAAACGTGTAACAGTTGAACTGGAAGTAGGGGAAAAAGAATGAGAAAGCGATCGCTGCGTGTTTCAAAGAAGGGGGATCCCGCCCCGCCCTGGCAGCGGGCACGGATGCAGGCGGGAACGAACGAGCGCTTGTCCGCAGGGAGCTGCGCTCTGGGCTGTCCAGAGCGGGTCCCCTGGGGAGGGACCTGCCCGCCTTGTCACGGCAGGTCCCCTACGGGACCCCCCCAGAGGCCGGCGCAGGCCACGCGCCCCCCAAATCCTGCTTTCCCGCCAGTTACCGCGGGGAACGCTGAAAAACACGTTGAACTCCGTATGGGGCACGTAA